ATATATATATATATTATTTTTCCCTTTTTTTTCCTTTTATCTCTCTTATTATTTATTATTATATTTACTTAATATAACAACAACAAAGAAAGACAACTGCTGTATGCCTTGAATATCCATACAAATTAGCTAGCTAGCTAGCTAGCTAGCTAGCCAGTCTAGCTAGCTAGCTATTTGGCTAGCTAGCTAGTGTAGTCTAGCTAGCTGTTTAGCTAGCTATCTAGCCTTTTAGCTAGTTAATTGGCTAGCTAGCTAGCTAGCTAGCTATTGTTTTGTTAGCCAGCTAGCTAGCTAGCTAGCTAGCTAGCTAGCTAGGTCCGGCGCCCCTCAGCCAAAGGTTCCTCTAACTAAGTCTTGGGCAGATAATCCCTACAACTGCAGAAACCCCACAGACAAACCCTAAACCCTAATCGCTAAACCCTAAACCCTAAACCCTAGATAAAAGTTGCACTTTGGCCTAACAAAGAAAAAGGGAGGAGACTACCGGTAAGGGGGGGGGAGGGGAAAAATACAATATAACGCCTATAGGTATAGCTAGCTAGCTAGCTAGCTAGCTAACTAGATGTCTAGCTAGCTAGCTAGCTACTACTACCTATCTATCTGTCTGCCTATCTAGGTAGCTAGCTAGCTAGCTAGAGACTCAGCTATCTAGAGGGTCACCTGGCTAGCTAGCTAGCTAGCTAGCTAGCTAGCAATCTAGTCTAGCTAGCTAGCTAGCTAATCTAGTTAATTCTTTAGCTATAGATGGTTGTACAAAATCTTGCGAGGGGTGTATGCACAGGTCTGCTCGCTGCTGCTGCTGCTGCTGCAGTTTTGCTGCTATTGCTGCATAGGGGAGGGCGTCTCTTGTTATGTGTCTATCTAAGGATTCCTCTGATTCCTGCTGCTCCTGCTGCTCCTGCTGCTCTTGCTGCTGCTGCTGATCCTGATCCTGCTGCTGCTGTTGCTGTTGCTGCTGCACCTCGTCTATTTGCTGCTGCTGCTGTATCTGCAGCTGTAGGTCTTGGGTTAGCTGATGATCAGGTTGCTGCATGTCTTGCTGCTCTTGCTGCAGCAGCAGATCTTGTTGCTGCAGTTCTTGTTGCTCCTCTAGTTGCTGCTGCTGCTGCTGTCCTTCTTCATCAATATTATTATCTTCTTCTGCTGCTCTTGCTGCTGCTCTCTCTTTTGCTGCTGCTATTGCTGCTTTTGCTGCAGCAATAAACATACTAACCCCATACACTATTGAGCATATAACACCAATACCTACAAGACACAGCAGCAACTGCAGCAGACCTGCATGCAGCAGCAGCTGCTTCTTTGTTATTAACCCGCATATTATTGCTCCTGTACCTACAGGAAGCAAAACGTTTACAACCCCACCCCCAAAGTAACAGTATTGCTCTTTTGCATTTTCTGGGGGAGGAGCCTGAAGACGCAGCAGCAGCAGCAGCAGCAGCAGCAGCAGCAGCAGCAGCAAAAGAGCAGCAGCAGCAGCAACAGCAGCAGGAGAGTGTCGGGTTATGAGTTATGTTATAGATACATATATATAAATATTATTATATAAATAATTTATTAATAAGATGCTGCAGCATCTGCTGCTGCTGCAGGGAGGATAAAAAGAGTTATTTTTTATATAAGGAGGTAAAAAGGAGAAAAAAAAGAAAAAATATAATAAAAAATATATGTGTGTATATTTATACGTAAATATATATTGTATATGTATATGTATTATATATAATAGATATATGTATATCTATAGATGAGTTATTATTAGCATAAAAAAATTAATTAAATAAAGGTTAAATAAATAAATTAAATAAATAAATAAATAAATAAATATGTCTAACCAAGAAGAAAGAACGTAAAGATTCTTCTTGTGGTGTAGATAATTCAGGTGTATGTACACTGCCTTTTGAATCTTCCCTTGAGGAGCTCATATTGGGCAACGTAAGGAGATGAAGGGGCGTAAAAAGGGTAAAATAAAGGGAAAAAGCATTAAAATAATTATATTTAAATAAATAAATAAAAAAAACAAAAAAAAAAGAAAAAAATACACAAAGAAATATAAAAGACTCGATGCAAGATGCCCAGGTGTATAGGCAGATATAACCACCGCCGACGGTAAAGGGAGGTAAAATTCGATATAATTGCAATAAATAATTATTTTTTTTCCTTTTATTTCTTTTTTATTGATTTTTATATAATATACACAAAAATATACAGAAAAATACACAATTTATATATACCTCCATCCCCTTTTTGCGGCCTACTGCTGCTGCTGCTGCTGCACCGCGCCGCCGGCGTCGGCGTAAGTAGAGTTTCTACGGCGGGCTCCGGTTCATCCTTTATAACCGTCCTTTCGATGCGTAATTTTAACTAATTTATTTTATTTTATTTATATTTATATTTTAATTTATTTCATTCCCTTTTAATTTGCTATTTAATGAGCTATTTATGCTGTCTATACACCCCAATTTACATCACTTATGCCGACGCCGTCCCATCAATGTCTACAACACTGCGCAGCGTAGTCGAGCGGCTCCCTCCTGCTGCAGTGTACTTGAGGGTTAATTTCTTTGATTTATATCTATCTATTAAAAATAAAAGCAAATTTTTATTTAATTAATTAATATTTGTTATTATTTAATTATTTATCTATTTTTTTCTTTAAATGGACAAAAAAATGACCACAAACACCACTAACGAGTCCATCAGGGAAACCGAAATAAAAGCTGCCTATACACCCGAACATTTCTGCCATTTTACCCCTTTATTTTATATTAAACTTGTATTATTATTCATTAATAATTAGTTTAATTAATCCCTTTTATTATTCTTAATACACCCCACCTAGATCATCCCTAGAACTGCGGAGATCTTGCTGCTGTCTTACCCCTGTAATTCTTGCTGCTGCTCCTGTTGCACGATCCTGCTGCTCTTTTTGCACGAGCAGCAGCAACAGCAACAGCCACAGCAACAGCAACAGCAACAGCAGCAACTCGCAGACACAATGGATACTGCATGCAGCCCCTCCCTAATAGGTGTATCTACACATTATTGCTGCTTATATAACCCTTAGATTCAATACATAAAGACACTCGCCAATCCTTAACCCCCCTAAACCCCAAACCCTAAACCCTAAACCCTAGAAATTACACCCTAAACCCTCAGCAACAAAGTTACATTACATATGTAAATAAAGAAACAAAGAAGCAACAAGAGACCAACACAGTCAGTCTTGAGGTGTACAGACACCTCGTATCGACACACACACTGCTGCAGCAACTGCACATGCAGCAACTGCAGCAGCATATACTGCAGCAACAGCAGCAGCAGCAGATGCTGCAGCAGCAGAAGGCCTAGCTGATGCCTCTGGTGGTGATCTGCTGCTTATGTTGTTACTCTCTCTCTATTAACCTTATACGTATATATATACATATATATATATATACATATATATATATATGTATATTTCTTGTTATCCTTTGTCTT